GGTACTTCAGGCTTATTCTGCTCAACCTCAATGGCTTCAAGGTGGTGGTGCGGACTGAAGTGGATGCACTCGATAAGCCCTTGAATGATGGTGCTTGCCCAGAAGGGCCTTGGCGACCATGCAATGATAGTGCCACGGGCCTGCATCATCGTGCGAGTGGAACCTTCAACGATGCTGATGGTGCAGTGGTCGAGATGAAGACCAAGAGCGCCTTTTTCCCCGACTTTCCTTGGAGGTCCACATTCTACCAAATGCTACTCGGCAAGGTGGACAAGTTGGTTCTGGGCTGGCACAAGAAGGGCCACTTTCCACCACCGATAGAGTATAGTTTCAATGACGTACGATCGAAGGCGAACGATGATGTGGACAAACGATTATATCAATTGGGCGTCTTACTCGACCGAGTAGTTTCCTTTGTGAAACAGGCAGGTGTTCCGAAGGCGCTCAAGCTGGTGTGGGATGGTGGTGCTACTGATCTCAGGATTGAGGAAAGATGTTTGGGCGGTGATGACGAGGAGATTACTCGTGGTACATTAACTTGTAAATTTTTTGAGTCGTACATTCAACCGTAGATTTATGATGTCAAACGTCAATTGGAAGTCTCCCCCCTTTCCCTTGTGCTTGTGTTGGGGTGTTACAAACATGTAGAGTAAGGCTATCGTTCCGACGCGTTGCCTTTACTCCGTTCAACAAGCCCTTCTGAACCTACAGGACTTGTAGGTTCAGAAGGACTTAGTAGTACAGACTTGTAGTACAAGTTCACCAGGTGTGCTCGTCGTCACCTCGCGCGAGTACTTGAAGTTATCCACAATAGTGGTTGTACTTTCCTGGGAAGACGAATGAGACATTGAATTCATCGTTACACGTCGTTGCCATATGTAATCCGAACCAGAGTAGCCCATCTGTCATCTCGAGACACTACTGCAACGTCGATTCTTCCGAAGAAGGGAAGAAGCCTAATGCATTGGTAGAGCGTCCAGTTAACGATGGTTTCACATCTCATCAACTCAGATTTCTCAAACTCTTCCCTACACCATCGTGTTATGATGCTCGATCCCAGCAGGATTGCATAACTACAAATCAAAGACTATTGGTAGCTCGCAAAACTACAGGGTAGTCTCGTGTAGTTTCGAGGCGCGTGACAGCTGATGAAGAAGATAGGTATCACTCGAAAGCTCTCATCGAGGATACGGAGTGTGCACTGAGTTTTCACAGACGCAAATACACGGAGACACGTCGTATCAGCATCACCAGAAGTTGCACGAACAGTTCTGTAGAAACTATGCATAAAAAGGAAGAGGGCTGAGTGGGATGCTGATATGCTGCGCAGCCGCAAAATCTGAAAATCTGTTCCAGGCCGAAGAATGTGGCCAGGCCATTTCTCGTAAATTGGAGTCGCCGTGGTTGCATAAACCTCTCACGCGCCATAAAACTTAAGTCTTCACGCAGTTTTCGCTGAGTTACTGATTGGTGTTAGCGCGCGCCCATTTATTCGACTGATTTCGCATGGAATCTCAGGTTGTAGGAGAGGAAGGGCCCACAGAGGCTCAAGGGTAGGTTATAGGCAGCTGCTTATATCATTCCGTAGATGTGTTTTGCATCTCAACAACGCCTGGCATTTTTCAGGTCTATTGAGGTCCTGAATCGGGTTGAAAGAGGTTTGGCGGTGGACCTGGATGCTGAGACCTATTTGGTCAAACTACCCCCTTGGTTGGCCGAACGGGTAAGGGCCA